TAAAGCAACATGTCCATTTCAAGAGAACTGCCAACAAACGAATATAATATATAAAGTTAAGGTAAGTGCAAGCAACAGCACAATGTACTACATCGGTGACACTGATTATTCAAGAAAAGAAACCTCTCATTCTCTGACAGAAAATACTCAAAAAGCACCACATTATCCACATACATATGGCAAGTAAAATACAGAAATATTATACCAAAAATAAGCTGGAAAATAATGAAAACACACCTGCCTACAACAACATAACAAAGAAAGGCCTAATTTGCATACACGAAAAGGTAGCAATAATTTCCCACACCCAACAAAAGGAATTACTAAACATAAGATCAGAAATAATTTCTAAATGCAGACATGAAAACAAATACCTATTATCACAATTTAAAAAATACCAACCAACACTGCTACATAAACCACCATTGACCCTATGAACATGATAAGAGAAACCACTGACACCATAACACCATCAATTATTTTCTAATTCAAACTACCATTATAATAATTATAACTATTGTTATTATCATTCCACGGCCACTACTACAATCACTTCTACTATTTTGCCATAACTCTTTGCTGCTACACTTGTTATTATCATCACCCACTCACCCCCACACCATTGCTACCACAACACAGTTACCATTGCTGCATTAGTCTGCAATTAGACTTCCTTCCCCCCAGCAAAATTAATACCACCACATAAATACCAATAAGTATGATAAATTGAAGTTTCTACCATTTACATAAGTGCAATTGCCAAAAACAAGTCAATAACTGACTTTAAATTAATAGCAAAATTAAAAAAATTAAAAATAATAACAATTTTACCTACCATAGTCTTACACAGACCCCCATCTTAAGTAAAAAAAAAATAACCCAGACAGATAGAAGGTGTGTAAAAATACATGCATACATGTATATGTGTGTGCGAGAAAGCATTAATCCATGAACAAAATAGTCTGTGCGTTGACACTGTGACTTGCAAAAGAATTTTGCTACACAATCCAACATTGAATACAGTGACCAATTGTGCACATATGCACACAATGGCATATGGATCCATATATACGCCCAGTCCCACACTGTTCATATATGTGTATGTTTGTGTGAGATGCAATGCATGAACTTACATGTATGTATGTTTGCATGCGTATGAGTGGTGTTCCGATGACAATTTTTCCTCCCACTGCCATAAAACACTGATATATGCAACCATAAATAAATCCAAAATTTAAAAAATTAATCAATTTGTTTGATGATCATGGAGAGCCTGAAAATCAGGGTCACAAACTCACATCAATCCAACTATATATATATATATGATGTATATTTAGGTATCAAGAATTTATTTAAACAATGTTAAATACAACTGACAAGGTCTGTTATCTAATTTTTATTATATTTTTCTAATTTTACTGTAAGATGTCATAAACCTGAATCAAAATTCTGGATAAATTGACCAAAGTTCATGTTTCATTCTGTTCAAACAATTTTGAACATCTCAGTCATTATCAAGAACTGGATGTTGTCAGTATATAGACAAGATTTTGTTGGTTATATCCTGACATGTTTTTGTAATGCTAAGATTCAAATTAATATGAATATATTTGTATTGTGTAAGTGATGTTATGTGTAGAATAGTTTCACAGACCTCAACTCACTGGATAGAAAGTATCAAATATTTATGTTTTATTATTATAATGTGCTAATCTGGGTTATATATTACCTATTAAATGTTTTTTTACATGTATACATTGCATCATTATTTTCCCTCTTTTATTCAGTAATGAGCCTGTATTCAGAAATATCAAGATCACCAACTTCTTGTTTCTACCATGCATAGAGCTTACTTTTTCTATGTTCTATTTAATCTTCATTTGGGTGTACTGGTCATCTTTTATTTTCCAAATATATCTCAACAGAGCAATGCTATTATGATACCTACTCAATCTGAACAATGTTGAATGGTTACTGTATCATTTTGTAAATGTACCTTCAGTCAAACCAATATAATTCATTGAGGAGGCATGAATCTCAACCTTGGCTTTGTATATGGCATTGTCAGTCAAACGTTGCCCAATTAAAGTACAAGTTTTAGTTTTTCTACAATTACAGGTTTGTTTTTCTTGTGGATTTACCCCACAACACTTTCTGGTTATATCCCTTAATAATGCCATGTTGGGCTTTGCACTATCGATATCTATCTATATCTATCTATATCTATCTATATACTCTCTCTCTCTCTCTCTCTCTCTCTATATATATATATATATATATAGTGGACACAGAAATCAACATTGCATCATAACTGAGATTATGAGACCATGAAACTGTTAGTTATCATTTAATGTTGATTGTTTCATCATTAATGTTTATATATTTTTTTATATATAAACAGTGGGGACAGAAATAGAAAGATATATACCTTCTGAAGACCATATGGTGTCTTGGCTGATACAAAGAATTAAATATTGGTTAAAAAAAAATCACCATTTATAAACTCTTTTCTATTTTCTTTCTTCTCCTCTTGTATAGAGAACAGCCATTTTGTCTGAGAATTGGTACGAACCAAACTTTCAGATGAACAATGGAACTTTGCAGGGATGTAGACAACAATGGCTAACATAGATGATATTAAGTGCAAAATGTGAAATAGAGGCAAGTTCTTCCATTGATATGAATCATCAAAATGTTCCTTATTTTTACAAAGGATATTTTGAAAGTGTGAAGTTGAAGTCTGTAAAATATAACAAAAAATATTAACCAGAAGTTTCTTAGATAAAATTAGTGATGACCTCTGAATTCTATTCACTATTAGAAAGAATATGAAATCAATATATCTGCCTGCAACTTGCTACTATAGACAAGATGGGAAATTCACAAAAACAAATTTCCCTCTTCTGGAGAAGATGTAGCATAGCATTTGAGCTTCTTCCACCAGCATTGTAAATAATTAAAATATTTTTGATAGGTGTACCTTTTTTTTTTCATATATATATATATATATATATATATATATATATATATATATATATATTATTACTTAATATGATTCCTGTTCAATTCTCTTAATGAGAAGGCTTTTTAAAAACACTTATACCAGTTCTTCATCATCCAGAAAATGCCAACTTCTGGGAGGATGGAATCATGATAGTGGAACAAAATGGCGCACATGTGGTTGAATAATTCAAATTCTATATGCATATATATATATATATATATATATATATATATATATATATATATATATATATATTTTATAGATAGATAGATAGATAGATAGATAGATTCTACTATCTATTGGCTCCGTATTTAACAGAAGGAATTTCTTACTTAATTCCGTTGCAGAAAAATCATTCCAAGAAGTACTTTTAAAGTGTTACGTAGCACAAATGATATATATCTATATAATAAATGGGAATTTCAGTGTGTCACACTTTTTCAATTAAAGGGGCACAACTCTCTGACTTTCAATAATTCATATTACAGAAATTTTGGATTCCCAAGTTTTCATTACTGAAATTATTTTTGGCAAATTTTACATGATTTTTGCAATGAATTTTTTTATAACTTGGAAATAAATTTGGGAATAATCAAAATTAATTGTGAAATCCAGCAAAAGTCACCCATGAAACAAAAAATAATTGTTTGTACAGAAAGTAAGGACCTATGCACATCAAATTGTATTTAAATTAAGTGGCAGCTGAAGAACTATTAAAAGGTAAGCTTAAATATTAATCCAATATTTAAATGCTGTGATCAATTTTGAGTTCTTCTGTAGCTTATTGTTGCCTATCACATACGGTTGCAGTATGCCTTGTAAAAAGAAATCTCTCCCAACAGAGGACCAGATCTCAATCAAAAGAGCCAAGGCTGCTGTGAGGAAAAGAAAGTCCTGTACAAATGAAAATCCAGATGAAACAGCAACCAAGGGAGCTTCCAATGCTGAGAATATGCAAAGACTTAAGGAATCTTACTCCTGAACATGCCAAAGACCCAATGAAGAGCCCTCCACAGGAGCTAGCTTAAATGCCACCCGATAAGGCTGCTTTTCAGCTAATATATACATGTGTGTGTGTGTGTGTGTGTGTGTAGGTTTGTTTGAATAGCAATGAAAGTTCCTTGCTTAAATTGTTTTAACTAATTTTTCTATGATCTGGTTCATTTTTCTGGTTTCCAGCATGTCTTCTGACCATAACTAAACATGCATAAATGTAACATTGTGGTCCAAATATCCAATATATACATATTTTATTTTGGAAAGGCTTTCAGATAAAGCTTACAGTTTTCATAACCTTATATATATATATATATATATATATATATATATATATATATATATATATATATATATACAATTAAAATAAGTAAAAGGTTTGTCACTTAGCTGATAGATGTTACCTTCAGCATCCCTGCTCCAGACAGACCCTCCAAGAATCACTATGTCCACTCATCAGGGGTATCATCAATTGACTGTTTATATTTCTCAAATGTTTTTCTTCTTTTTTATATGCACTTTTCATTTTAGCTAATAAACTTACCCAGTCAAAATGCTTACATTTAATTAAAAATATCTCATAGTTATATGGAATCATAAATTGTCTTTCTGGTTGAACAAGTAAGTCAGAAGTGAAAAACAAGAAAAAAAAAATACTGCAAGTGTTCATATAAAACATGTTGCATCAAAGCAAATGCAATCAGCAGAGTTGGTCTGTGTATGATTATGGACAGGAGAAGAAAAGGGACCCAAAATGTTCATTTGGTTTTTTGATTAGTATTTTTTTTTGTTTTATCTCCAAATCTGACTCTCTTGAACTGTTCACTATGGAAACACTCAAGTACTTTTCAAACAGAATAAAATAAATAAGCATCTAAAGAACATATTATTGGAATTGTTTCTAAAAATGAACTGTTTGGTAGCATCTGTTTGTAAGCTTCAAATTTGATGAAAGAACAATTAAAAAGATTTAAAAAGTTGTTAAAAAATGGATTATTGTTCAAAACAACAGAAGAAAGTAAAACACAATAATGAAAAGAGGTAGAGTAAAAGAAGAGGAAGAGGAAAGGTAAGGTGCAGGAAAGAGTAGAAGAAGGAGGATGAGGAGGTAAAAAGAGATGCTGAAAAAGAGTAGAAGGAAGAGTAGATGATAGAAGAGATGATTAGAGACAAGCAAAAGGGAATAGAAATGAAAGAGGAGGAGTAGGAAAAAAAGAAGAAGAAGAAGAAGTACAATAACAACAACAACAACCACCACCATAGGAGAAGAAGGAAAAGAAGGCACATTAAAGTAGAAAAAGGCAACATAGAAGAAGAAATAGAAGAAGAAGAAGAAGAAGCTCCATAAGAGAAGAAGAAGGAAAGGAAGGAGCATCAAAGTAGAAAGCAACAACATAGAAGAAGAAGAAGAAAAAGCGAGAGAAGGGTAAGAGAAGGAAGAGGCAACATTGGAGAGATAGAAGGAGAGGATGAAATTAAAAGAGCAGGAAGAGACAACATAAGAGAGAAAGAAAAGGTTAGGAAATGTGTAAGGTAAAATGAGTGGGAGACGAATGGAAAAAAAAGGTGAGATTATACAAAGAGTAGAGATGAAGAAGAAAGAAAAGTGGGTATGCAAGAAGCAAGGATGAAAACAGGCAAAAACAGTCAAGAAAGTAAAATAATAGGAAGACAGTTGGCAGGAAGAGGATGTGAGCAAGAGAAGTGAAGGAAAGAAAGGAAAACAGATTTTTGGGGGGGAAAAAGAAGAAGTGTAAAGGGGGAAAAAAGGAAAGGCAAAAAAATCAAAGCGAGAACAAGAAGTGGAAGGGTTGAAAAAAGAATTAAAAATACAAATAATATCCTCTCAGTGCCTTTAATTTTCACTTGGGACATTATGATCAATTTCCTACATGGAAAAGGCTTCATATAATATATACATAAGAATATTATTGTTAGTAATAACAACAAATAACAATTATGAATGGATAAGGCAAAAGTAATTCAAAATATTGGATAAATGGCAGCAGTCTTTGACAGTTCTAATTTTCCTGTCTTTCATTCCTGTCTTATAGGAAGGAAATGAGTAACTACTGACACTGAGGTTTGAACGTGACACTCTGGAGTTATGTATGTTTTCAGCAAGGTGTATAAATAGTGGTGTCAGGTTACTGACTAGAGTGACTATTGAGTGGAACTATCCAGTCGAATTAGTGTGAATTACTGCACGTCAATAATTTGGGTTTTGATTTACGATTTACCCTACGTTAAGCCGAGCCGCACTACTAACAAGGTATTCCCTGAAACGGTTAATTATGTTTGGTTGACTTTTACTTCTTTGTTCTTGTTAAGTATTTATTTGCAGTTGTAATTAATTACTGTTTTATTTTAACATTGAAGTCTTGAGTTATACTTAATTATTAATGGCCACCATACATCACAAAAGTGGCAAAGAGAAATTCGTGTAAAACTCACACAAGAAGAAAAAACATCTTAACAGGATATTCAGTGAATATCTTACCACTTCAGAAAAGTGATGACTCATGGAACTATGAATTTCTCAGAACTACAAGTAAATAACCTAGTGAGAATATTAAAAAATCAATTCAGTGGACTACAGAAAAATGGAAGAATTAAAGTCTGTTATGGTTCAAATGTTGGAACAACAATTGCAACAACAGCAACAACAACAGAAATGACCAATGCCAATTGCCAAACAAATGTTTTAACTAAATCTCTTGTTTATCTTTGTGCTATCTCTACAATAGCTACATTCCAGAAAGATAACACTCATGTTGGGAGTTGATGGATTTACACCATTAGAAATAATAAAAATAGCAACAAACAATACAAGGTTTGGTTTGTTGCAAAAGGTTACTCCCAAATCCCCAAAATAGATTATAAACTTTTTCTCCCACTATACATTTATCATCTGTAAGGACTTTAATGCAATTAGCAATTCAACCCAATTTATCTGTCCACCAAATGAATGTAAAACTGTCATATAGGAAAAAAATGATAACTACCAACAAGCATGACCCTCTGGACTTATAAATACATGTTTTCCACCAGGTGTATAAATAGGGGTGTCAGGCTACTGACTAGAGTGATTATTGAATGACTATTGAGTAGAACTATCCAGTCAAATTAGTGTGAATTATTGTGCATTGATGATTTAGGTTTTGATTTAGGATTTACCGAACATTAAGCCGAGCCGCACTACTAACAAGGTATTCACTGAAACGGTTAATTATCTTTGGTTGACTTTTACTTCTTTGTTCTTGTTAAGTATTAAGTATTTATTTGTGGTTGTAATTAAATACCGTTTTATTTTAACATTGAAGTCTTGAGTTATACTTAATCATTAATGGCCACTGTATGTCACAAAAATTGCATACACATATTACTAACTTTGACAAATGACCAGGTTATGTTGCAAATTTTCAATAAACATTATTTTTTTTGAATGTTGATAACTTTAGACAAATAAAGTATTGGGTTGGCAACTAAGTTCCCACTGCTATGACCTCTGACCTCACTTCCACTGCATCAGAAAGTGAGTGAAAATCAGAACTTGTGAAAGTGTAAACAGGAAATGCATCCGGTGGCTAAAATAAATGGTGCACAGGTCTCCTGAGTAGAATAAAATGTGTGCTTGTGTGGGTGCATGCCAGAAGAGGTATGGCTTGCGGATGGGAGAGGATTGAATTGCTGGAGGGTGCATATTTTCCTAATAAGATTTCTCAAATATTTAGACCAGTAGATGGAAATAAATGTTTAATAAATAAAATAAAAACAGTAAATCTGCTCAAATAGGAGTATCCATTATTGTTATATTGCATGCTAATAGGAATATATACTTGACAAACACGGTGGATAAAATAAGTAAAGGTTTATTGTAAAAAGCAGTAAAATAAGAATAAAGGTAACAGTTATGCACAAGATCATCACAAGTTAATTCAGTATTAGAAGGTTAGTAGTTCTCACGTAAGTCTGAGTTATACTCAACAGATTCCAGCTAGATTCCGTAGTCCATTGACTTACTGATACTTATAGGTAATTACTACCTATAGAGTAATTACTCATGGGGCTGACAAGTTATTACATTACATCAATTATAAATAATGTTTAAATAATAATTTAAAGTATGTATGTCAAAGATTACTATGTGAACTGGTCTAATAATCCTATCAACTATACCTGTGTGTACCAGAGAATCGGGTCAGCCCAATAAAAGACTCCAAGTTGGTTATATGTGGTGCTGTAGGCACTGAGAGTTGTGTCTTCTTGCATAATGGGCTGTTGAAAGAAGACCTTTTACTTAGAGTAGGTGGTGCTATTTGCTCATGAACGATACTAGGTAGGTATTAGCCAATAGTCAGCATGGGTCTGGGACTGAGATAGCTATATAACACCAGTGTTTTTCTCAGTCAAAAGAAGTGCTCCTGCCATGTGGATGTGCGAATACCAGACAAGACAAACACACTGTGTTGTTTGAAGCAAGGTTTTTAGATCATCATCTCGACTGATAAGGTGTGTGGTGGTACACAGGAGAGTTGTAGGGCATACAGATCCAATCAACCTAATCAAAGAGTTTATCTGCCATATAGACATGATACCTATGGAATCAAATACCGGTCTCAAGAGTTGTGCTAAAGGCCATGGATGCTGAAACAAGACGGAAGCCATTACAAGCGAATTGAAGGATGAGGAAACAGCTCTCTTCTGAGTAGCAACTGATGCAGAAATATGAATAAGCTGAAGTTTTGTTAAATGGAAAACAGCATGACCTGTCATGAAAATGGATACAGAACATTTCAGAAAGTGAAGACAACTTCAAAGTACAGAGCAATAGGCTCAGACAGAGAGAAAGTCACAGAAGGAAGATAAATTACTTTTTTAGATGAAGATGACAAGACAAAGAAAACTGTTGTCTATAAAACTGACCATCCTGTGAAAAGGCACATGGAAGGGGGAAGAAGAAGCAGATTTCAGAGAATGAACAGGGAAGACCAGGCGATAAGACTGTACACCTCCCTACTTGCCCATGCTTCATCTCTTTTGCACTTGCTTATAGAAATAGGTTACAATCCAAGAATAAAATCTAGTTTACTGTTAGAAATTGTTTTGTTTTTTCACTCCTGGGTAGTGATCTGGCCAAAGGGTAATTTTTAAGCCACAAGCGTTTGACTGTAAGAAACTGCACCCTGTCAATGAAACTGTTGTCTGGTCTGAGCTGCAATGCAACAGTGACATTCCCCATGTTAAACATTACTCCTTGCTGCTGGTACTATGGAATTCTGTTGCATGTTATTTAGAGAGGAGATGGGCATCACCATTGCCCTGAGAAGTGCCATGAAGAGCATTGTGATGGTCTTGTAGGTCAAGGCTTGAAGTGACACTAGAACCAATGGGTGATGAAAAAACACTTAAATTTATGAGCATCTCATGGGACAGCTCAAGAATGGATGAACAAAAATGATAAAACCTAATATTATCCACTGTTGTAAAAGTATATTGCCAAGAACTGAGCACCATCATATGGAAGGCAACACACTGATGACAATAATGGCAATTAGTAGACCCCACATCATTGTTACTGCTTCTGCTGCTGCAGTACAGATTCTGTCATTTCCTGTTGATAATAATAATAATAATGATAAGTGATATTTATATTAAAAATATCATATGAGCAATCCATTTCTTGAGAAAGGTCATGTCACAGGTGGCCTTAAACAGCTCCCTTTTCAGGTGTGATCCGACTTTAAAATTTAAAACCTTTCTCAAATTCTTTCCCAAGAGTGTGAAAAGTTCAAATTTCTAATGAATTAGAAAATGAAAAGAAATTAAAGAACTCTTTTTTTATTTTTTAATCTCAACCTTCACTTCCTCACTTCCCCATACACTTCTCATCTTTTTGCTATGGAAAAAAGAAAAGAAAAAACAAATTAAAAATGGGATAATCTCTTCTTTTTTTCCTATTGAATACATTTTCTTTTTCCATTTTTTTCTTGTTTTTAAATAACGAAATGGCATTAAAAACAATAAATCTCCCTTCATTTTTTTTTTCTTCTTCTTGTTTTCATTTTCCTCTCAAAAAATATTATTATTATTATTATTAGAGCAGCATGGATTATGTGAAGTATTTAAAAAAGAATAAACAGAAATCTGTGATTAGCTTTTAAACATGCCGCAAAACTTAATATTTGCCTAAACAAGTCAATAATTTCTTGAAGTATCTTTTCTTTCCTTTTCTTTAATTCTGTTAAGGATTATTCTCTTTATTCAAAGATATTATTAAAGATGTAATTAAAATCTTAATTCTAATTACTTTTTTGGAGAGTGTGCTTCATGAAAATAAGAAATATGATCTTTCTTTGATTTTCTTTAGAATCATTTCAATTCCTCAAAAGGAAAAAAAGAAAAATCAAAAGTCAATACTTTCAAAAGAAAACAAGTGAAATTAAAAAGGATAAAATAATCCAAAATATGGAAGCATCTAATTGAAACTAAAGAATTGTTTGTTTGCACAAACTCACAGTTATTTCCCGACATTTAAAATGCTTTTAGAAGCACAGCCTTTGGAATGGATTATTTTTCATTTCCTTTGCATAAATATCATGAATATATCATTTCTGAATTCTTTGTAGCCTTGTCATTATTCTTTGAATTATTGTCATTTTTATTATTTTTGTTGCAAGAACTTTGTTCCATCAAATCTCCATCATTCTTAGTGTAGTCTGAAATTCAATAAAATGGATACCCTGGCAACAGTTCTACATACAGAGGTGCTGACACCTTATACCACTGGGACAGACACACCTTAAATTGGGAGAGTCCAAGCTAAACATATGGTAAACCTTGACAAACACATTGGAGTAAAACAATAAAGATGAGATAATATTTTTTGTCAGAATTATTGTGATGAGGAATTATCATTAATATATGCTTTACAAATTGGATCCACACACTCACCTTGGTTGTTCTACTCAGTGTTTCAGCTGTAGTACTCCCCAGCCTTCTTCAGTAAAAATTTTGGAATTTTAAACCTTTATAAATTTGGAATTTAAACTGTAAGCATTCTACTTTTTGTGCTTAGGAGATACAATAGAGAGAGAGTGTTGAAAGTTCTAAGGTACATGATAAGGAAAGAAGGCTTGGAAAGTTTGATACTCAGAGGATATATTAAAGGCAAAAGTGACAGTAAAAAGCAGTGCATAACCTATCTAATGAACTTGTGTAAATAGATGACAGAACAGGGATTTGGAGATATGGCAAAATAACAAACTTTACTAAGGGCTAAAAATGACAGGAAGTTGTAGAGAGCAATGACTGCCCATGTCATGAAGGGACACAGCATATAAAAGAAGAACACTCGACAGTCTTCTTAATAAAACCTCAATTATAAAGTGAATCATCTAACCAGATGGAACCATTCTGAGATTGAAGAATATCAAATGTGGATAGAAATCAAATTCTGTAGGAGACAGATAAATCATACAAGCAGGAATTTGAAGGACATCAAGATGACAAATGCAGAAACTACAGAAATTATTAATATCACTATATCCATTGATATCATCATATCTATTAATATGACAATATCCATTGATTTCACCATATCTATTAATGATGATATCCATTGATTTCACTATATCTATTAATATGATGATATCCATTGATATCACTACATCTATTAATATAACGATATCCATTGATATCACCATATCTATTAACATGATGATATACATTGATATCACCATATCTGTTAACATGATGATATACATTGATTTCACCATATCTATTAATCTGACGATATCCATTGACATCAGCATATCTATTAATATTTCGATATCAATTGATTTCACCATATCTATTAATATTTCGATATCAATTGATTTCACCATATCTATTAACATGACGATATCCATTGATTTCACCATATCGATTAATATGACAATATCCAGATATATCACCATATCTATTAATATGATGATATCCATTGATATCATCATATCTATTAACATGACGATATCCATTGATATCACCGTATCTATTAACATGACAATATCCATTGATTTCACCATATCTATTAATATGATGATATCTATTAATATCACCATATCTATTAATATGACGATATCCATTGATATCACCAGATTTATTAATATCACCAGATTTCTCAATATTACCTTGTCTACGAATATCAAAATATCAATTAATATTATATGTGCCAAAAATAATTGTTGA